TGACTGACGTGATGGTGTCCTTTGAAGTTTCATCCTTTGGTTTCTGGGAGTTGAACCCAAACTGTGGTCCATCATAACCAACTTCTATGAAGGCGTTCAACTTGGTTTTGAAGGTTCTTGCACTAGACAGTGAGTGGTGTGAACCTCCATCTGCTCTTCTTCGTCATCTGATCTCATCTTGTGTCCAGTAGGCTTGCTGTGTCTCCACTTTCTTCACATTGAGATGAAATCGATCTGAGGTTTAGTGTGTCCTAGTGTCTGGTGAGTTCAAATCTATGTCGCTTTTTGAATATCCTTGTGTTTGTACATACTGCTTCCAATCACCAAGTCGTTGAATGCGCAGAAGTCTGAAAACAGTTCTCCATTCTCGTTCATTTCGCCGAGTGCTCCTCGACACGTGACTGGTTCTTTACCTGTGTTGTTTGCTCCCAGTTTGGCATTTATGTCACCCCACCCACTAGATTTTGATGTCGCCATCTGGGAGGGATCTTGTCCAGCACTGATTGCCGTTGTCTGCAGAAGTTCTTCTTCTTGCACAGCGTAGCATTGAATGATTGTGACTTTCCTTTATTTTCAGTTGAACCTTGTTGTCATGATCCTGCAGGAGATTGATTCCCACTGCATGAGAGCCTTCGATGCTCTTGGTAGGGGACATCATGACAGCCACTCGAAAACTCAGTGTGCTCGAGGTTGTCGTTTGAGTGACAATATCGGAGTAGATTATTGACTCTCCAGTTGACAGTTTGGAAAGCCCACTCCCATTTCACCTACTTTCGCAGATTCTTAGCACATCTATGCCATACCTTCTCATCTCTGTAGCAATCTGGGCGGCCTTGCTAGGTTCATACATTGTGTTGACATTCCATGTCCCTATGCTTGCTTTTGCTTTCATCTAGAGAAGAGAATACACATAGGCCAATTGGCTTCCTGAAGCCTTTTAAGAACTGGCGCCATTTCGTCTCCCCGATTCCAGCAAGGAATAAGTTTATTTTTATTTTTTATATTTCCTTTGTGCTTCGAAGTTTCCTCAGCGGTTATATTTGTTTTATGGGGTAGGGTTGCTAGCCTTATGCCCAACCTTCCCTCTTTATCTGGGTTTAGGACCGGCTAGTAACTAGCGAACTAGTTACCTAGGCGAGATTTAAAGTGACGGAGCACCCAGGTTTTGACTCCAGGCCTTTCGGCCTGCAGTCGACAGCTCTACCATTGAGCTGTATCCCAAAGATGCTACCTGCTTTTCTAAACTTTGGCAGGTGGAGTGATGCTCGAGACAGTAACTCACTGGTCAAAAGTCGACTCCCGACACCAACGAGCCACAGCTCCACAAATCATTTGTGATCCTATTTGCTTTACTAACACGTTTAGATATAAATACACTCTGTGAACGTGAGTAATTAGCATACTACTACTCATTACCTTCAGAAATGTGACACTATCACATGGATTGTAGTGTTGTTTACATTCAACAACCTCGCCTGGTTAACTAGTTCACTAGTTACTAGCCGGTCCTAAGCCCGGGTAAACAGGGAAGGTTGGGCATACGGCTAGCAACCCTACCCCGCAAAACGAATCTGACCGCTAAAGAAACTTCAAAGCACAAACAAAATATAAAAAATGAAAACAAAATTATTCCTCGCTGGAATCGGAGAGGCGAAATGACGCCAGTTGGTGAAAGCCTTCGGGAAGCCAATTGGCAGATGTGTCTTCTCCACCCTCGATGAAAGCGAAAGTAAACGTGGGGACATGGAATGTCCGCACGATGTTTGAACCCAGCAAGGCAGCCCAGATTGCAAAGGAGATAAGAAGGTATCACATCAAAGTGCTTGGGATTTGCGAAAGCAGATGGAATGGAAGTGGAGTCTCCAAATCGTCAACTGGAGAATCAATAATCTACTCCGATATTGTCACCCAGACGACAACCACGAGCACACTGAGTTACAGAGTGGCTATCATGATGTCCCCAAGAGCATCGAAGGCTCTCATGCAGTGGGAACCAATCTCCTTCTGCAGGATCATGACAGAAAGATTCAACTCAAAAGGAAGGAAGGTCACAATCATACAATGCTATGCACCTACAAATAATGCAGAGCAAGAGAAAAAGGAGGAATTCTACACACAACTTCAATCAACACTGGACAAGACGCCAGTTGACGATATCAAAATTCTAATGGGCGACATGAATGCCAAACTGGGAGGGGACAACACAGGAAGAGAACTAACCATGGGTCGAGAAGCGCTCGGTGAGGTGATGAACGAGAATGGAGAATTGTTTGCAGAATTCTGTGCATTCAACGATTTGTTGATTCGAGGCAGTGTGTTCAGGCACAAAGATATCCACAAAGCGACATGGATTTTGCCAGACACCAGGACACACCAAAAATCAAATCGACTTTATCTCAATCTCAAGAAAATGGAGACGCAGTCTACTTAACACAAGGTCAAGAAGAGGAGCAGATGTAGGTTCACACCACTCACTATCTAGTGCAAGGAACCTTCCAAATCAAGTTAAAAGCCTTCAAGGAAGCTGGTGATAGACCTCAATTCAAGTACAACACTCGGAAACTGAAGGATGAAACTACAAAGGAGATCTTCACGTCAACCATCAAGACAAAATGGGAGACATCGAGCAACATCCCTGAAGAAACCTGTGTGGAAGAACACTGGAAGTCTTTGAAAGCTATGTGGAAAGAAACCTGCACAACAGTATTAGGAAGGAAGAAGAAAGAAGATAAGGAATGGATCTCGATGGATACCTGGAAGCTGATAGAGGAGAGGAGGATGGTGAAACAGAAGATAAACCAGTGCAAGGACGCTCAACGACAAGAGGAACTGAGCACAATGTATAAAACATTGAACAAAGAAGTAAAGAAGAGTGCACGCAGAGACAAAAGACACTTATACGAAACACTGGCAAGTGAAGCAGAACAGGCTGCAGGTAAGAGAGACCTGACGACATTGTATCAAATAACCAGGTTGCTATCAAGGAAGAGATCAACGCAGACGAAACCAATAAAAGATGATGACGGAAATTTAATTACGAAAGAAGAGAAACAAAGGAAACAATGGGCCGACCACTTCAAAAAGCTCTTGAATCGACCACCACCTGCACTTCGTCCAGAAATACCACCTGCAGTCTAGCCACAGAACTACAAGTGAACATAAATCCTCCAGCGAAAATGGAAGCCCTGAACGCCATAAAGCTACTGAAATGCGGGAAAGCAGCAGGACCAGATGGGATACCGCCAGAAGCACTGAGAACAGACGCAGAGACAACAGCAGACATGCTCACACCACACCACTATTGCAGAAGGTGTGGAAGGAAGAGAAGGTACCTGCCCATTGATTGGAAGAAGGGTTACCTTGTCAAACTGCCGAAGAAGGAAGACCTCAGTGTTTGCAAGAACTGGTGAGGAATCACTCTCCTGTCCACCCCAAGTAAAATATTAAGCCGCATCATCCTGGAGAGGCTTAAAGATGCACCGGATTCAAAACTACGACCGGAACAGGCAGGCTTCAGGAAGTACAAATCATGTGCAGACCAAATTGCAACGCTTCGCATCATCATAGAACAGAGTATAGAATGGCAATCAGCTCTCTACCTTAACTTTATCGACTTTGAGAAGGCCTTTGACAGCGTCGACCGAGAAGTAATTTGGAAACTGCTTCACTACTACGGAGTACCGCAAACCTTTATCAGCCTCACTCAACAACTATATGAAGATGCCACATGCCAAGTAATTCACAATGGGAAGCTCAGTGATGCTTTTGAAGTGAAGTGAAGACAGGAGTGAAACAAGGTTGCCTACTATCCCCCATGATATTCCTGATTGTGGTCAACTGGACTGGATCATGCAGCAAACAGTGGGCACCGAGAAGAGGATGATACGCTGGCTGGACTGCGGAAAAGAACCTAGAAGACTTGGATTTCGCCAATGATGACTTGTGCCTGATGTCACATAAACACGAAGATCTACAGGCAAAAACTGACAAGTTGATAGAAGAGGCAGCGAAGATGGGACTTCAAGTGAATATAGAGAAGACAGAGGTGATGAAGATACCGCACCACCACCAACAACAACAAACTCCAATCACCATCAATGGGAGAAACTTAAAGGAAGTAACCTCCTTCACCTATCTAGGAAGCACTGTTTCAACTACAGGCGCCACATGCACAGACGAGGATGTCAAAGTCAGAATCGGAAAAGCAAGACAGGCCTTCATTAGCCTGAAACCAGTGTGGAGATCTTCTGCACTGCACTCAGCATGTGGAACAAGATACGGATTTTCAACACCAACGTCAAATCAGTGCTTCTGTATGGCTCAGAGACTTGGCGCGTTACGAAAGGGATTTCCAATTAACTACAGACATTCATCAACAACTGCTTACGCTGGCTCGCTACTGAAGATCAGATGGATTGCCAGAAACAATAAGCAACAAGGAGCTCTGGGAACGTACCAACCAAGAACCTATCAGCCAACAAATATGCAGGAGGAAGTGGAGATGGATTGGCCATGCACTGAGAAGGCCGACTGAGGACATCACGCGTCAGGCCCTGGAGTGGAATCCCCATGGGAAGCGAGGAGTTGGACGTTGAGGGTGACATGGAGGAGGTCGTGCGAGGAAGAAATGAGAGCTTGTGGGCTGTCGTGGAACCAGGTTCAAAAGATCTCAGAGAACAGAGGTCACTGGAGACGTGCTACTGAAGCCCTATGTTCCACTAGGAACCCAAGGGACTAATAATAATAAATAATAATTACATTCAAATGTTCTGAAAGTTTGTATGACTAAGGCTGATTGTAAAAAATGAATAATAACTATGTGCGTTAGGAAACAGAAATCCTAGGTCCCACGTAATTTTATTTTTTCTTGTAAAAACTACTCCTGTTAATCATTCTAAGTCCAGTCCAATTTCTTAGTTATCCATAAATCTGTTGCATATGGTGTAAGAGAAAGCAAGAAATGTATAGTGAAACAGACTTAGCTGCGAATTTGAACTAACCGTGTTTTCACCATTAATGCTACCACTTTGTGTTGTCCCGCTTGTTAGACTTGTTTGAGAAGTGGTTGCATTTAGACGAGTAGGGAGGACGATAAGCCCAGCTGCTGCATTGCCGCAAGTACTACGATTACCTTTCTGATTCATGTTTTTCTCTGCCTGTTCAAGTAGCTCGCGGTTTTCTTTTAACGCCTCAGTTTCTATCTGAGAAGTTGGTTCACGATACCTGAAACAGGGAAGGCATTTTGTGTAAAAAAAAGATTGGTTAAAATGTTTTTCTTAAAGTATAAGCAATTAAACACTACCAATCACTAAATACTGTTTTGAAGAAGGCATTGATGATGTAGAGTATAGCCGTTGATATTACTGATTTACTAAGAATAACTAAATCGGGAAAGATTTCAGGAGCCTGAAGAATGATCAATATAAAACTAACTGACTGACTGACTGACTGACAAAACTTAACATAGAATCTCGCATAGAGGTGCATCAGCTCTTTGCAATACTTCACAGTAGTATACAAAGACCAGGTGGATTAAAAAAAGAGTGATATCAAAGTATAAAAAGTTGTGTGAGAGAATAAACAATCGGAAGATAAAGGTTAGTGCGCATATTCAACCAAGAGTGAATATATCTACACCATTATGACCAATTTTCAGCCATGTTACCATCATATAAAACTAACATACAACAGCTAAGCAAAGTCCACTGTTAGCATGATTTTGTCTACAACGCAGTTGCAACAACAACATTGCACCGCCATTTGTCACGAATGTAATCTTTATTAGTGACACAAACGTCTACTCAACTGAGTCTTCAAGACGGAACTATAGGTATACACCATATACCAACAACTTTTATTAGTAAGGTTGAGCAACATCAGTGACCCTTACAAAACAGATGTGAATCCTGGTACATGAACTTGTATAGGGCAAAGAAGTAATTATTTTCCTATTAGGGTTCGTTAACATCTCAATGGACATAGCCGAGTGAGCTGCTGGTGAAAACTACCATTCACATTATGAAGGTTGGCAGGACCGGCTGTGTTTTGGTGATGGTAGAAAATTAGCTAGCGAACTATCACGTCCTTTGTTTGATAGATACTTGACTTAGTTACCAGTGTAACTGTTAACACGAAAACCCACAACTTTATTTTCAAGTCTACTTTCCTGAGACTGTAATGAAAGCTGTTAATAACGAAGTGGGACTTAACCACTTCCACAAAACTTCAGGAGATTCAGAACTGATGAAAATCACACAGCAAACACCGATGGTTGCAAAAACTAAGAGTATAATTAATTAAAATCCAGCCTAGTTCACAGCGAACGGAATGAATGAGTCAAACAAAACGAGTAACTTCAGAAAGCATTATTAAATATACATAATCCGTAAAATAACATCGTCTGTTGCTAGCCACTTTCGCCTATCTCTTACTTCGCCACCCAGATAAGCATGAGTTATTTTTTACTGTCATTCACAAAGATATTTCACGAGCTTATATGTTTACAACTTCTGTTCTTTGCTAGGTGGTTTACAACGATGAGCATAAATGTGATTCAGTGGCTTACGTATTTGATATAAGGAAAATGAGTCCCACTTTGGAATCCCGACACACCTACTGCGGCTTTATATAAGACTCGTCACCTAGTATATAAACCTCTACTGGGTTAACATGGGGGTTGTAGTTCCTTGGTTTAGGCAGTCACCACACAACCGAGGAGGGTTCAGCAATTTCTCTACACAAGATTTGGGTAGTATCACGAACCCTCGTACAATTATGACTTATCTCCTGATGCGTGGAGCTGTGGCTCAGCGGTTAAATGAGATGACTTTCAACTGATAGGCAACGCGTTCGAGCCCCCCTCCATCTACCGAAATTTTGGCAACCAGGTAGTATCATTAGCCCTTAACACAAAAGGGTCGAGGCTCACTGCCTACGGCACCAATGTGTACAAGGTAGCTGAGTGCATTTCGCTTTATTTGGTTTATGGTCTGATGCACAAACATGCACATTTTCAATGAGCTGAATAGTAATACCCGGTTAGGTTGCACTCATATGTCCTTTACCTTCAATGGTCATGTTTCACAGCTATACAGCAGGACAGAGCGGACTGCAGCACAGTGCACTCGACCCTTAATACACAATCAGATATTGCGGTACCACCCTAGATGGTGTAAGTTGGCGAAAGCTGAGCCAGCCTTCTGTACCTATGCAGAGATTTTGTCAGTTACTGACCCATCAAGGCAGACCTAACTTCCCAGGTAAGTGAAGTGGTCAGAGTTCCCAACCATTTCAATCTCAAGAGTTAGACAGGGTACCAGTGAATACATTAGAGAGAAACAGATTAGATTTGGTTGGAGGAAAACGGATCTCAAACATTTTAAAATTCCTACTCAATGAGTGCAGACGACTGCATTCTGTCAGCACTTTTACCTAACAGAACTATATCATCTACTTACTCCAAATTCACCGAGGATTCTCATGTGATTACATCAACCCCTGAGACGGCAGATGACGAGATGGAGAACCCCATAAATGATTGGCATTAACAAAATCAATGTAAAACCTCACAAAGAAATGCATCGGCTCAAGTTGCCACACTTCACAGTAGTACACAAAGACCAGGTGGATTAAAAAAGAGTGATATCAAAGTAGAAAAAGATGTGTGAGAGAATAAACAATCGGAAGATAAAGGTTAGTGCACAAATTCAAGCTTTAGAAGATGTCAAGGAGTGAATACATCCGCATCATTGTGACCGATTTTCAGCCACGTCATCAACAGTCCTCAGTCACTAACGTCTCGGCGACCCCAAACAAGCAGTCTGCGTCTACCCACACATATCAGACCAACAGTGTGAGACTTCATCGACCGGTATCACATCTTGGTTTGGCTACACTGAATCATCTTCCAGGCTAATCGAACTCCCCTAGTATGGCACAACGAGGTAAGTGGTGGCTCGGTATGCGCAGAACATGCCAAATCTATTTCAGTCGATGAAGGTTCACAACCTAATCAATCAACTTGTCAGTCTTGTCTGTTACCCCTCGCCTGACTTCAACATTGCTAGCAAAGTGATACCACCTAACGCTAAAGTGATTACTGGTAATAATTAAGTATCTCGTATCAGTTATTACAAGCACAATTCTCTACTAACTGACTGACTGACAAAATCAACGTAGAGCCTCGCACAGAAGTGCGTCGGCTCAGGTTACCACACTTCACAGTAGTACACAAAGACCAGGTGGATTAAAAAAGAGTGATATCAAAGTAGACAAAGTTGTATGAGAGAATAAACAATCGGAAGATAAAGCTTAGTCACATATTCAAAGTTTATAAGATGTCAAGGAGTGAATACATCTGCGTCTCTGTGACCGGTTTTCAGCCATATCAGCAAGAGTCGTCAACCACTGATTCCTTTCATCTCGAGTACCTCAACCAGGCAGTCTACATCTCTCCCCACACCTCATGCCAACAGTGAGAGAATTCATTGACTGGTTCCACTTCTTGGTCTGGCCACACTGAATCCTCCCTCCAACCTCATCCAAGTTCCCCTAGTTATGGCACATCGAGGTAGGTGCTGGCTCGAGATGCACAGCACATGTCCAATCCATCTGAGTCGACTAAGGTTGAGAACGTCATCAATTGACTTGTGAGTCTTTTCTGTTTCCTTCTCCTGACTTCAACATTGCTCACACGGTGATTCCACTGGATGCGAGCAGTGCTGCGAAGGCAGCTGTGATCAAAAGCTTAGAACTGTTTCATGTCGCCTGCTTTCAAAAGCGATGTCCCACAGCCGTATAAGAGGACAGAACGGACTGCAGTGGAGTATATTTGTCCTTTGATAGATAGTCGGATATTTCACCGACGTCCTAGGTTAAACAAGTTGGCAAATGGCTATCAGGCCTTCTATATCTGAGGTGAGATTTCGTCAGCAACCAACGCGTTCAAACTTATACGATTCCTCAGGTAAGTGAAGTGGTCGACACATGCCATCACTTCACTCCATAACACAACACTATCACTCATCCAGAAGCTTGGTTCCACCTCCAGTCTGCTGTAAAAACAGCGTTGAAGATCGTAGCTGACTTTCCAACAGTGTTTAATAAAAGCCAATGGATAACAGCAGCTTCTTTTGAATCAATGGATGCAAGCGAACGCATCACTTCAGGCTCTGAGTGCAATGAAGAGCGAACACAACTCAAATGTAAACTGACAAAATGTCTACGAATGACCGTGAACAGTGGTTCTATAATTATTAGACACCTGAATGGAACTCCATAATAGCAAGTCCGAGAAAACCGGGCAGGCTTCAGACTTGGCCGTGAATGTATCAACTAGATGTTCACACTCTGCCAGGTTCTGGAACACAGGCACACTTATCTACCCCAGACACCGACTGTATTTCTCGACCTGAAGGCGGCGTTCGACTCCATCGATCGAGAGGTCTTATGGCCTTGTCTCTCATCACTCTGTTAAGGGCTCTTTACTCGAACACCTGTGAGCATGTTAGGGTCTATGTTCAGATATCGGGTGAGTTATGTACTTCGACTGTTGTCCGTCAAGGACGCGTACTCTCTCCACTATTATTCAGTTTTGTCATAGATGTTCTTATGGAAGTCTCCTCGTTATCTGACCATACAGAGATTGACCTAGTCACAGGAGAATTTTTGGTAGACCCAGAATACTCGAATGACATGTTCCTTTTAGGGAAAGACGCTGACTAGACTGGGGCAATCGGTGAATCAGACCAGTCAGATAGGACCGTATTTGACTTCCACACACTAGTTAGGACTTCAGTCGACTAAAATTCCTCTACCACCGCCCTGTGCATCAGATCAAAATTGCACAATGCACTTCATGAACTGAAACCTGGGATCATGGATACATATATACACAAGTGTAGTGATGGTGATAAATATTAAGGTAGAAATTACTCTTCTTGAGTGAATCCCCGATGTCAGACGCCTGCGCCTTAGGCCACAGCATGCGTCAATACCTATTTTTAGTCCACTTTTCTGTATATCCACTAGTTGCAGTCTGGAAAGAGTGAAGGAAAGCTGTCAATTTTGTTTCAAAAGATAATACTTTCAGAAAGTCTTATTATTAGGTGACGTCAGATGATGGCATCATTCGAGTCCTGCATCGAGCAGACAACGATGGTTGTCTTCTGGAGTCCGACTTCAACAATCGCCTGTTTCCAAATACTAGTTTCAAACGCAACCAGCGATACCTTTTTATTGGACAGTCACAGAAATACAGATAATATTGTTATTATCCATCATTAGAAAAGGGTTCTAAAATACCAACGATCTTCTTCGAGCACCTATATGTGTATTTCCATCGTGCGTTAGTTTGAGTACATATGTATGCACATGACGAGCACAACATGCAGCTGAAAGGTATTTACGATAGCCAAACACAAAAACTTTCACACTAATTTGACCTGGCGCTGTTTAGTATTTTTGAGAAATAGTGATAAGAAAAGTGACCTACGACCAAAGGTCAGTATGTCTGTGAACCTGTGGCCTAATCCAAACTGATGGATTCGGAAGGAATGCAGTCTTGTTAACTTTTATCTCAGTTGTGAGAAAGCAGATTAAAAGTAAAGTAACTGAGAGTTCCTGCAAAGAAAGAGATCACTGATGGGCGCCAGAAGTCAAGGACATAAATAAAATATTGACATTACGCAATATGAGACCATTAGTGTTAATTAAGGAGAATGTCCTTAGTACGATTACAGTTAGCAGGAT